TAGGATGGATCGGTTATCCTGTAGCACCCTGAGAGGATGGCTGGGTTAACCTGTAGCACCCTGATAGGATGGATCGGTTATCCTGTAGCACCCTGAGAGGATGGCTGGGTTAACCTCCCGCCACATGTTATTTCATCTCTAATGGATGTTTCTCTATTTTCTTTTTCTAGTACCATTGGTTAAAAACAGATTTTCATCGGTGGAAGGATGAGGATGATTCAGATGTTGAAACAGATGATAAAAGTCTAGAAGATGTAGGTACTCGTAGATTGCAGCATTTATCACACCGACTTAGTGTCCAGTGACATCAAAAAAGGGCCCCAAAAATTGTTGTGAATAGCGTCACAGAAATACAGACTCGGTTAAGTTTTCCGATACTGATACAATTAAAGCCTGTATACCATTTATTCCAAAACAACTCAAGTAAAAATACAGTGGTAAGAAAATGTCCAACTGGAATGCGGTAGAAAACAGAAATTGAACACGAACAGAAGTTAAACAAACCCTGATTGGTCAATGCTGACCATCTGTGGATGTAGATTGACCCTAATTAACATAATTTATGAGTTTCACTATCACCGTATCGGCAGTATCACCGTAACATCGAATATAACAATAATAACTCCAAAATTAATAACAATATTAATGTTTGCGACAATTGTCAATGCACACAAATTCTTCTCTAAAAACCATTAGCTGGATTGCCTTTCTATTCATACCACACCTACCTGGAATGGTACTCTGTCAGATTTGTTCATTTCAAGACATCATGAACATTTTTTGGGATTATTTTTATCATTTATGGATAAAAATGATTTTTATCTTTTTTGCTCATTTTTGGGCATTTTCGACTTTTCTGTTATATATGGGCTATGTATAATACATGGACTTCGGTAGACAACTGTATCAGTTGGAAGTTAGGCTTTCTCAGTACACATTGAACTGGATGTTTTCCAGAAATGCTCAAGTTCGGGTCAAGGTCATTTCAAGGTTTACACGTTTGCTGCTTTTATGAGTGTTACAGAACTGCGAGGTGGGGAGGAACTAAAACACCTACCTAAAAACTTCAAGGTCTCAGGTCAGGTTCGTCTCAAGGCCCCATGTTGATTGTGTATTGGGGGTCAGGAGGTCACTCCTTCGTCAAGATTTTACAAGGAAAGTTCTAGTTCAAGGTCATCACATGTCACTTTGCCATTTTGTCTAACTTAGTCATTTTCTATTCAGTGTACATGTACAGTAACCAAATAATGCAAAATTATATTCTGGTAATAGTGACAACAACTTCTTGTTCCAGCTTTAATTTTCTGTACACCCACATCATCAATTATACATATCCATGCATTACATACACAAATATGTTTCCTCTTGCGGGACATGCCCTTCCAGTGATCATTGCCGCAATTACTAAACTGTCATAAATTCCACTTTCCCTATCCACCTAGTAACTGCCACTGCCTTTGTACAGCGAGCTCTACCAACCGCAAAGTTTCATTTACAGTGAATCTCATCACGGATACTAAATAGCCAACCATCAGAGCTGCATAGGGGGATAGTTTCTGTATCAAATGCTGCAATAAAATCTAAACATAATTATCAGAATATAATCCATTTTCTTTGTCAATATATTTGAACTCGTTGATTCCTGTTAAGTTTTTTCTGCCAAGGTTCAAAGCACTTCAATAGATTAATGAACACAGATGGCGCTGTAACAATTTGTGTAAATGTTCAACACTTGGTGGCAGTATTAAATATGTGTTTGTGTGGCTTTGTTGCTGTACATACATTTGTGACTGTACTTATTGCCTTATTTGAAATGTTTACAGTTCAGACATTCATTCACCTGCTTGGAGGGGAAACTGTTTAATTTATTCCTCGTATGACAATTCTTCCAAGGTGGAATTAGATTGTAACAAGATCTAAATCCTACTTTAAGCCAATAAACTTTGCTTTGTGTGTAATGATAAGCTCCTTTGTTAAGTACTACTTAACTAATATTCTGTTGGTGTCCAGAGAGGGTACAGCCAGTGCCTTCAGGAACATGTGAAAAATTGAGGGATTATTAACGTTATTATATGCAGTGTTCTCCCAGGCGGGGTAATTTGCTTAAAATTTGCATATCATTTGCATATTAATTTGCGTAATGTTCTGTTTTCCCAGGATTGCAGTAATGAATTACTACACTCTTCACAATCACTCACAAAACATTTAAACGTTTTATCTCTACTCTTAATAATTGAATCTGCTGTACCATCCAATAATGTATTAATATTTACAAATGACGTCTTGACCTGAAAGCAGAACAAATAAAATAAAGTTTAGAAATAAATTTAATAAAATCTGTACCTAAAAATTACATGTATAAACCACTCCACATTTCAGAATCAAGAAAAAAATTAAACTATTCTAAAACACAGTCAGTATTATTTTTATATTTGCCTCGCACAAGTTTCCAGTAATTTGAATATATATCTTGCATATGTAATCAGTTGTTTTAATATATCTTGCATATGTAATCAGTTGTTTTAATATAGACACATCTGTTGTCTGATCCATCATTATACTGAAGACTGGGCTGCATGTAATGGCAGATTGTATTTCATTGCTTATAACAGAAGACATGGATATTAATAATTCTTGAACTGATCTTTCTGAAGTGTAGTGGGCATTTTCACCCTAAGGAGTGGGGTGGCTTTCCATTCCCATTGTTGTCTTGTGTACATTTGTCTTGGAATGTCTAACGATGACATCTTTTCTAATTGTTGTACACGGAACTGTGTTCCACATCCACTGGTGGTGGTTGTCAAGTTGAATTTATTACATAACTTGCATATCATTCTTATAAAATACCAAGGGTATTTTTTTTTCCAAGCCTTGTCATAACCTGTCTTCCTTCTCTTTCGTTCGTTCGTTGGTGGCTGTTCTAAGTCTACGTACGGCCTTTCGCTTCTGCTGGAGATTGATGACATGAGGTTAGCGCTATGCTGATGAGACGTGTTGCTTTTCAAGAAATTTTCTAAGATACTGGTGATGTTTGGAAAAACTCCTTTTATTTATTTTTCATTTATTGTTGAGCTTCTCCTTTCATTGTAAGGTCATTGTTCTGCCGTGGCCTCAACTAATGTACGTCAAGCAACAACTTTTCAACGATCTACTGTGCTGCAACCAATCAGGACTTACATTAACATTTAATCTCACACCAGAGACAGGGGAGAGGTGTTTCACACTCCCCAGTGTGAGACTTATGTTGGCACACTCTGGGAAAATCAGCGTGGCAGTTCGAGACCACAGTGGCGTGCTGGGAAAGCAGCGTGCCGGCATCGCACACAAATTAAGTGCCGGGGAGAACAACTGTACACATGGCTAAATGAACCAAAAAGCATGCGTTAGAGTTACCTATACGGAATTTGAATGGCCAGTTGTAAGCAGAAATTTTCGTATGTTTTACAATGTTTGTTTTTGTTTTTCAGATGATGGCTCAGATGGGAGGCGGTTTTGATGGCGATATGCCAGATATGGATGATATCGGGGATGAGAACGGTAAAGAAACAGGGCCGGATAGTGACGACGAAGGTAGGATACCTTGTTTATTGCAAGTTAGTCTTCATGGCAGTTTGGCCACAAATGGAGGCTTATTGTAGACAGCCACTCTTACGATTATATCGCGTCTTTATATAACATATAACATTTATATAAGATTGCTGAGAAAATGAATGAATTCTATGGGTTACACTACACGGTGGGCAAAATTAATCCAAAAAAACTATGCCTGGTTTAAGTTGTTACATGGCACACTGATGTGTTTATCCTGGTAGATAGTGTCTATGAAATGCTTGTTTAGATCCCTGTCAAAAATGTGAATATTATCATAGTTTATATATCTAAGCACAAAATGAATACTGTAAAATACTTTATTTTAGCTGGAATTAATTTTCACTCAAAATACATTTTGGCTGTTTTGTATGGAATTTATTTTCACTGATTTTTGATGAGTTGAATGTAAAATATAGGAAAAAAGGTATATTCGCTGGATTTTATTTTCACTGTTTCATCATTCCTTCAGTGAAAATAGCGATAATTTATTCCAAGTGAAAATACTGTGTATTTTACAGTATTTTAATATAAAAAAAATCAATTTTCTGTGTGTACATGGTGGTGGGACTGTTACACAGTTCTGGAGAACACTTCAGGTTCCAATTTGTCTTTTCTTGGAAGCTAAAATGAACAAAATTCAAATGGCCTAACATGCATCCTATATTTATTAATTTTCTGTCTTTTTGTTTATTTCCAGAATTACCAGATTTGGAGTAGCCCTTCTAATGTATATACAATAATTTGATACATGTGCAGTTTTCACTGGCCCATCCCTATCTCTGGTGTTTCTGCAATCATTTGGGTTTTAGTATGAAAGCCTCTTTTTGTTTGTCTTTTTTTAAATTTTTTTTTCCTAAATTAAAGATGTACAGTTGAAAGACTACCAGACTTTGACCATGTGTATTTTCAGTTATTATTTTCAGTAGGTTGTTTTGTAATTTGTGTTTTAACCCTCTCACTGCCACTCTTGTTATTGTCCTGTACCGTATATTTCAATTGAGATCTTTAGCCATTGGCAAATGTATTTGCTCAAAAACTTTTACTTGCATTTTTTTCCCCCCGGAAGTGTGGAAGTAATTACAATACATGTATATGGCATTGAGTGGGTTAATTAATAATCATGTCTCCTGAACATGGTTAAAATAAATAAATACATTGTTTCTAATAATTGTTGCTATCTTGGGAAATCTTTAAAAGACAGCTCCCTTGCCTTTTTCAATCCTCATAATCATTAGTTTTATGCACGTTTCACAACAAGGCGCTTTCATGCTAGAATGTTTTATTTTGTAAGTACATGTAGTAGTATAGGGGGGGAAAATATTAAAAATGTAATTTTTTGTTATTTTGAAAAATGTTTCTTGAAAGTTTCTTTTAGATTACTGTAGTTATTAACTCTATAATCAGATGAAATGTGTATACACTTTTCCCAGTGTATAAAGTTCCTGGGCAATGATTTTTATGTGACCTTTACAAAATTAACTGTTGTAAATGATATAGTGTATATACAACAAAACCTTTTTTGAGCTATGTCGAGACTCATTGATGTTGTTGCTGTTAGTAATAGCCAGTCAGCTTAGGTTTTCCAAAAAAAGCAAAAAAATATGGTCGGGATTTTTGTTGGAATCTAATTAGACTATACTTAGCAGACCTGGCATTGTTGTCCTGGCAACAATGACTAATAAACCCAAAGCTATGTTGATTTCAACCATGAATATTGAAAGGTGTATAATAATTTGATGCGACAATTTACCTGCAGTTTTTAATTTTGAAGCTATTAGTTTACATGCCCCACTCTGAACATTTTTGAGGAAGGATTCATTTTTTTTTTCAAATTTGGCATTTACAATACCCTTCTACAACTTAATAATCAAGTGATCCCCAACCCACCGCACCCAACCCAACCCAACCCAACCCCACCCCACCTGTATATAGCATTATTGGTGGCTCTTCTCTGCTCATATTATGCACGTTAGCCTTGGTATCGGCCTTTCAATATTCAACCTGGATGACTTACACCAATCATTTATACACTCCTCCAGCTGACCTGTGCCGTACATGCATGCATACATATTACAGCTGAGCTGAGCAATGCCATACCTAGAAACATCCGAGCTGACTAGTCCTTCACCTGCAGCCTGGCTGACCGATGCTGTACCTGTATTACATTCAGCCTGGCTGGCCGGTGCTGTATCTGTATACATTCAGCCTGGATGGCCGGTGCCGTACCTGTATACATTCTGGATGGCTGGCGCCGTACCTGTATACATTCAGCCTGGCTGACCGGTGGCGTACCTGTATAGATTCAGTCTGGCTGACCGATTCCTTACCTGTATTACATTCAGCCTGGCTGGCCGGTGCTGTACCTGTATACATTCAGCCTGGCTGACCGGTGGCGTACCTGTATAGATTCAGCCTGGCTGACCGATTCCTTACCTGTATTACATTCAACCTGACTGACTAGTGCATATTATCCAGCCTGTACCACACATACACGCAGCCTGACTGACACACACACACACACACACATGCATGCCCCAATGTTTAACCAGGCACACAATGCTCTTCACTGTGTGCACTGCAGCAAAATGACAATTCAACATATTAGATCATTCTTGTCTGTTAAGGACTGTATGCAGCTGTACATGCTCTCAAGAGGGATTCATTTCATTTCAATTAGAAATGTTTTTCACATCACAAAAAAACAAAGCATGATATTGGAGAAAATAACGAATATGCAATAAATAGCGATTATCTTCAGTCGGAGGTAGGCAGAGGCAAATTTATTCCCTGGCAAGGTTTGTACATGGTAATTATCAAAGTGTTTGGTAGTTACATTTATCTTTTTGCATCATTGTGTGCTCTCTAATGTAGGGATCTTGAATAGTAATGGGATTTCAAAAATCAAGTTATCTTGATGCCTACTAGGGAGAGCTATTCAAGAAAAGATAATTGTTGTAGGAAGAACCTGATACATGTCAATTCCTTGATTTTCACCCTTTATTATATTACAAATTCCAAAACTATAAGAAGTTATTAAAGATCACTACATGAGCTAAAGTGCAACTGGTTTCGCCATTTGTGTGGCAGTGATGGGCTCAGAGGGCACTCAGTTTGGAATTCCTGTAATTAAGTGCATTTCAATAGTTCTTGAGTTAACACAAAGCCATGGTTTCTGCTGACATACTGTTGTATTGTGCACTATACTTCAAGCTCTGGTTTTGAAAACTGCCACAAATGATGTCTACCATATCTCGAAACAAGTGTTGTCGATCATGGATATTCACCTTTAGTTAAACTGCGATTTAGATATGCACGAATGACACTTTGTTCAAACTAAAATGTGTCGAGATCTTGACATTTTTTTTCCTTTAAGTTCACTCACAAATAAAACAATGTTGCCATAACTATGAAAATATCTTTACCATGTGACCTACGTACTTCAGATCATTTTTTTTAGATCTGTACGTGTACATTTATCAACTCAAAAGTCAGTGCTGCAATATGTTGAAGATCGTTGGTCGTCGTGCTGCGCATGCATAAGATATGGGTGCCATAACTTGGTTAATCCTGGGATGAGTGGACGACATGAAATCAAAGTCGGCATTTTTAGTGCACGTTACTGTCAGATCAAAACTCGTTCATGCTTGCTACTGGCATGTTGTAGGTAAATCTTAACACTAATCTCACAAATGCATGGTGCGACGACCAACACTGTTTAGTATAGAACTACTGTGAAATACTTTGTTTTAGCTGGAATTAATTTTCGCTGAAAAAGCTTTTTGGGTGTTTTGTATGCAAATTATTTTCGCTGATTTTTGATTAGTTGAATGCGAGACGTAGAAAAAAAAAAGTATATTCGCTGGATTTTATTTTCACTGAAGCATCCTTTCAGCGAAAATAAATTCCAAGCGGAAATAAAGTATTCTACAGTGATGGTTGGATCTGGGCACTATTGTAGCTCGACTTCCTCCTTTAACATGTCTCGACTGATTTTGAAATATTGACGTATATGTAATTGTTGAGTCGGAATAAAATCAATAACGACAACTGTAATTCATTGACTGATATACTCAACTCAATATTCTACTCGTGGTTCGAAAGATCTTATGGTGTTGGATTCAATGGCTAGTGTATTGATGGTTGAGCTTGCATGCTTGTCGAAATGTGGGCTGATGATTGGGACCCATCTTGCATGCTCGATTAACATCAGTTTCTCGTAATACATGTATACACTATCTGGGCTCAAAGTCGAGTGGTCAGTCTTCAAGTTCAGTTTTTCCAATCAGTCCAAGGCAAATTAAGTGTTTAATTTTGTTGAATATAAAATTCCTTTTATCCATACTGACAATGCAAATTTTCTGTCAATATACAGCGGCAAATCTAGGTTTTGGCAAGTACCAACCATGTTTTGCCACTTTGTATTTTCTGGTAACTATCGCACTGGAATTAAGTGGGTATATTCATTTGTTAAATTTAGATATACAAATGTAGGATATATTGATGCATAAATCTGATTTTCGTATAGCGCACCAGTTCAGACCACATGGCTACTGGAATTTAACTGAAATCTACATGCATGTACCAAGAACTGCCTATTAAGCATGGAAGTTTCATAAGCAGCGCTACAGGTTTATTCAGATATGACAAAAGTTTTTAACATAATAAATGCAAACATACCAACTTTTAAATGAATTGGTAGTGATTTACACAAGTGGACTGTATAAATCTGACTACTTGTCTTAGCAAGTGGTAGGTAAATTTTGTGAAGTGACAAAAAGGTTATCTAAATATTATGCTTGCACAGATAACAGAGCAGAGGTGTTCATATAGGCGATTGTCAACAATTGCATTTTCGACTCCTTGAAAACAACCAGCTCAATTGTTTTGACACTTAGTATGTACTGTAAAATCTGTATTTGAAGCCGTGGCTTCTACTTGCATGGTACAACGCAACAGAAGGGATGCGGCTTCCATTAGACCTACACATGAGAAATGGTGAATTTTTGGTTCTCAATTGTTCAAAAAAATGGATGAGACTTCTAATACAGATTTTACGGTAGTTACCTTGGGGGACCTCTGTCAGATTTGCTCATTGCATGAAAACTACTGGTACTAGCTCAATTGCTTTGATACTAGATATGTAGGTACCTCAGATTTCTCCAATCTTCTATTTTAGGTAAAATGATATTTTCGAATTCATCTTGTACACTGCCAATTTGAAGTTGACATCATCCTATTTACCAAACTGCTATTTTGTGGATGTGCGTTGCTCGTAGGACAGCAGAGCTATTTAGACAGGTCGCTTGTCGTTAATGCAAGAAACGTACACTGCTAGGAATTTCCAATTTGATTGCATACATGAAAATTTGTAATTGGTGCAACTATGAGATTTACACCATTAAGCTTACTGTTAATTAATAGAAGCTCAGACTTAGAATTATCGCTGTAAATTTTAATTATTTTATCAACAAGTAGGCAAGAGTTATAGGCTGAAGAATAATCACGTTTGCAAGAACATTAACTGAAGGTGATTCACTACAAATGAACATCACTTAAAATAGTGTTTGTTTGAATCAAAACATTGAGAATCATACTGTGGGAATAGGACGACCACTCTGACTATACACTAGCTAGCGATTTGTATCAGGACAAATACAGTTGGCCATCCTTTCTATCCTCTCAATGCTTGAATCACCAGCTAATTATCATGGAGGATGTTCCACCAAACAATGTCTAGGGGGTCAGATAAGTTTCAAAGTCGATTTTCCAACCTTTGGCTTATTAAGCCAAGTTTATAAAAGTAATAATTATTACCCCGGTATGAACTTTTCCTTGGAAAGAAAAATAAATTAATTTTGTTTTAAATTTTCCAGTTACATACAGGTCTGAGGATATAAAATAATTGTCAGATATACATAAACAATCTGACAAATGGCAACACAAGAAGAAAAAAAATATCCTAGTCTTTTAGTGGATATTAAAATCATGAATGTCTGATGTGGAAGAATGTGATTACATTTGATTTGAAAATGATGCAGCTGTTGTGTAATGGGCAGTAAGAATATAGCATGTGTGTAATGAACAACAATGATAAAGTTATATAATAGACAGTTACAACAGGAATAGCACACATCTAATTGGGAGTTGTATCAATACAGCAGGTATGTAATGGAGAGTAACAATACGGCAGGTATGTAATGGCTAGTAACAATACGGCAGATAGGTAATGGAGAGTAACAATACGGCAGGTATGTAATGGCTAGTAACAATACGGCAGGTATGTAATGGCTAGTAACAATACGGCAGGTATGTAATGGCTAGTAACAATACAGCAGGTATGTGATGGAGAGTAACAATACAGCAGGCATGTGATGGAGAGTAACAATACAGCAGGTATGTAATGGCTACTAACAATACAGCAGGTATGTAATGGAGAGTAACAATACAGCAGGTAGGCAATGGAGAGTAACAATACAGCAGGTATGCAATGGAAAGTAACAATACAGCAGGTATGTAATGGCTAGTAACAATACAGCAGGTATGTAATGGAGAGTAACAATACGGCAGGTATGTAATGGAGAGTAACAATACGGCAGGTATGTAATGAAGAGTAACAATACGGCAGGTATGTAATGGATAGTAACAGTACTGCAGGTATGCAATGGCTAGTAACAATACAGCAGGTATGCAATGGCTAGTAACAATACAGCAGGTATGCAATGGAGAGTAACAATAATACAGCAGGTATGTAATGGCTAGTAACAATACGGCAGGTATGTAATGGAGAGTAACAATACAGCAGATATGTAATGGCTAGTAACAATACGGCAGGTATGTAATGGAGAGTAACAATACAGCAGATATGTAATGGCTAGTAACAATACGGCAGGTATGTAAAGGCTAGTAACAATACGGCAGGCATGTAATGGAGAGTAACAATACGGCAGGTATGCAATGGCTAGTAACAATACGGCAGGTATGCAATGGCTAGTAACAATATGGCAGGTATGCAATGGAGAGTAACAATGCGGCAGGTATGTAATGGCTAGTAATACGGCAGGTATGCAATGGAGAGTAACAATACGGCAGGTAGGTAATGGCGAGTAACAATACGGCAGGTAGGTAATGGCTAGTAACAATACGACAGGTATGTAATGGCTAGTAACAATGCGGCAGGTATGTAATGGCTAGTAACAATACGGCAGGTATGTAATGGAGAGTCACAATACAGCAGGTATGTAATGGCTAGTAACAATACAGCAGGTATGTAATGGCTAGTAACAATACGGCAGGTATGCAATGGTTAGTAACAATATGGCAGGTATGCAATGGAGAGTAACAATGCGGCAGGTATGTAATGGCTAGTAACAATACAGCAGGTATGCAATGGAAAGTAACAATACAGCAGGTATGCAATGGAGAGTAACAATACAGCAGGTATGCAATGGAAAGTAACAATACAGCAGGTATGTAATGGCTAGTAACAATACAGCAGGTAGGTAATGGAGATTAACAATACAGCAGGTATGCAATGGAGAATAACAATACAGCAGGTATGCAATGGAGAATAACAATACAGCAGGTATGCAATGGAGAATAACAATACAGCAGGTATGCAATGGAGAATAACAATACAGCAGGTATGCAATGGAGAATAACAATACGGCAGGTACGTAATGGCTAGTAACAATACGGCAGATAGGTAATGGCTTGTAACAATACGGCAGATAGGTAATGGCTAGTAACAATACGGCAGATAGGTAATGGCTAGTAACAATACGGCAGGTATGTAATGGCTAGTAAATGGCTAGTAACAATACGGCAGGTAGGTAATGGCTAGTAACAATACAGCAGATAGGTAATGGCTAGTAACAATGCGGCAGGTATGTAATGGCTAGTAACAATACGGCAGGTATGTAATGGAGAGTAACAATACAGCAGGTAGGTAATGAGATTAACAATACGGCAGGTATGCAATGGAGATTAACAATACGGCAGGTATGTAATGGCTAGTAACAATACGGCAGGTATGCAATGGAAAGTAACAATACGGCAGATAGGTAATGGCTTGTAACAATACGGCAGATAGGTAATGGCTAGTAACAATACGGCAGATATGTAATGGCTAGTAACAATACGGCAGATAGATAATGGCTAGTAACAATACGGCAGATAGGTAATGGATAGTAACAATGCGGCAGATAGGTAATGGCTAGTAACAATACGGCAGGTATGTAATGGCTAGTAACAATACAGCAGATAGGTAATGGCTAGTAACAATACGGCAGATAGGTAATGGCTAGTAACAATACGGCAGGTATGTAATGGTTAGTAACAATACGGCAGATAGGTAATGGCTAGTAACAATACGGCAGGTATGTAATGGCTAGTAACAATACGGCAGATAGGTAATGGATAGTAACAATACGGCAGGTATGTAATGGTTAGTAACAATACGGCAGATAGGTAATGGCTAGTAACAATACGGCAGGTATGTAATGGCTAGTAACAATACGGCAGATAGGTAATGGCTAGTAACTATGATTATCGTATAGAAGCATAAATTACATAACAGGAAATCTACAATAGTTCACAGCACAATGTAATATTCACACAATATAAAAACTAAAATGTCATTTAATATTTTTAAAATACTGACATTTATTTTGAAGTAAATGCAAACTTAGATATCATGTCTTGTTTGCTTTTTTTAGATATTTTCCACAATGATAGAAATCAACAAGTTTTAAATGCTTACTAGTGATTTACACAACAACATAGACAAGTGGGAGAATTGATAATACCTAGCACATTGATAGGATTCAGCAAACAGTCTCAGTCAGTCGACCCTAACCCTAACACATGAAATACAATCCTACTTTAACAGCAAAACATGTTACAGTACAAAAGCACATGTGTAAGCTTTCCATATTTCTCAGCCTCTGTTGCCAACACCAACTTGAAAATAACAGTCACACAAAAGATGCTTTGCCCAAAGAAAGCGTTTTTTAAACTTATTTTACATTTTTTCCTGAATTATTAGAGACTTTGTGAATTAATTACACAAATCTTAGGTTTTGCCTGAAATTGGACAGTCATTCGCTAAACTTCATCTACGTTTATCTAGTTTTGACATTTTCAGCGGCTACTTGACCATGGTCCCACCACTAGAAAATCATGATTTGGAGTTGACAGTGGACGGTAAAGTTAAACAGAATATTAATAAGAGGATCTTCATGCTAACTCGGATACATGATGTGATCCAATAACATTATCTCTTACAACCCAGAAAATATAGAACGTTGTAACTTCACAATACAAGATTTGATAAGTAGATTATTATCGTAACCCATTATATAAGGAGGTGATAAGAAAATAGATGCAGTTTGATTTGAACTTCTATCAATTATTTTTCCTGCTTTATGCCCTCATAGTTAAATACTCCATAAGTACATTTTAATCTCTGCTTTGAAGCTGGTCAAAGCTGATGTACTGTCATGCATCAAAAAAAAAAATCAGATCAGAAAGCACTATAATGTTTTCTAGCACCTTGCATCAAATCAATAAATTAATATGCAAACAACGCATGAATAGTAATAACTGACATGTCCTTTATACATGCAGGATAGTATGTTACTGTACTGGGTTCATTTTAAAGGTTTTGACGTTGCAGTTAACTATCCAAATTCATCAGGTTTCAATTTAAACCCATTTAGCAATCAACGAAAAATAACGGTCAGCTGATAATATAAACCATACACAGTACTGTAAAACATGTTGAAAAAGCGACATGCAATTTTAGCGAATTGTGGTAAAATGACGTAATAGCGAAATGTTGATTTAGCGAATCTCTCTTGTCATTGTTGATTTCCTGTTTTCACAATACTTGTCTGGCGTGTGTCAAAACAAATGAGCAGTTATCATCTCCATAAAAACAAAGAAAAACTGTCAAGTGTAATTGGGAAGCGCCCCGAATTTTTATGTTCCGGATTACTGTATACAAATCCCCAAGCCTTGGCCATTTTGAATTAGCTAATAGGTTCTCTCGCTAAATTCGCTAAAAAGACATGCTCGCGAAAAAGACATGTTTTACAGTATTCACAGTACATCCTGTACGAGACATAGTACATTACATTCATCCTTTGGAAGACACGTTAGATAAATCACAGGAAATTAGAGCATTAATTGATTTACTTTAAGCAAGCATGCAAGATCAACTCGGATGAGATTAAATGGTAATAAATGCAAAGTTAGAATCACAAATCCTTAATCGGTTTCTAGTAACCATTTTCATTACATCAACATCAGCTGCAATATACACAAGACGACAACAATATCTATACATAATGCTTCTCAAGACAACAGTCACTTACGCCTGCAATTATAAAAGCAGGCAAAATACAAAAAAAAAAAATGAAAACTGCTTCCAAGTACTTGATGACTCTTAATGTTTGTAAGTTGAATTCATCTGGCCAATTTTACCATTATTGATGAATGTTCCCTTTGCGTCTTCATCCTCATTGTATTCATCCGTACTGCTCTCTTCGCAATCACTACGAGCGTCTCTATCAACCTTCACAATAATAAAGATTATAAAGATTTCAATTGCGCTTTTTGCTCACTGTATGACATATATGCAAGTTAGTTTTTGATATTCCTAATTGGGACTGGCTGATGGATGAACCAACAATAGTATACATTCATTTCACATGGCCAAGTGTCAATTTCCAGGTCATAGGTTAAACTATGTCTAAAGGACACTCTTATTCAAACAAGAATTTTTAACCTGATTAACCCAATCAGCCCTAAACCCCCAAAATACCCTCCCCCAGTTCAAAGTCTAGACAACAGTCAGTCCCAGAATGCCTGCAGGAATTTGCATTAAAACAGCGGTTCAAATTGTTCTCATTCACACCCTTCAAGCTTTGTTATCATTCCAATAACGTATGTTTATATTTAAGATTGTCAGTTATCTGTACATGGATTCATCAAGACTACATAAATCAAATAGTAAGTGTGAAACATGAAGAAAAGTTGCCCCTAAATGTATTGATTTATTTGTGTTTGCACACTTCAATGTTACAGTGGGTTGCCTAAAAAAAGAACACTCTTTCAAATACCAGTGAAAATGAGTGCTGGATAAGTTCTGAATAAATTGTTTTGATACAACGTTGAGTTGCAAATTGAGCTAAGCAGCCGAGGATGTAAATCTAGACATTTCATTGGCTGGATAATTGATGTGTGTCACTGACTGCTAATAGGTACCAGAAGACAAACATTTGTTGATAAAGAACTTGGCAATAAATCAAACTAGGAAATACAACATGATAGTAGATAATTTTAACTTTGCACTCCAAAATGGTATATTTAAGTTCATGGGCATTCGCCACATCTTTATCACAGGAGGACCACATATTGAATTTATCTTACCTTGCCATGTGTTAGAGACTTGTATACCATTCTCATAATAATGGAGAACCAGAAGATGTGTAAAAGTTGTAATACTAGCAATAATATATTGAAGATCCACCAAGAAGGCCATGGACCACAAATTTCACGACTCTCTATTGCCGCACTCTTGAAAACACTGGAGGTAAAAGACAATTATAAAATGAGATCATTCAGCACACCTGTGTACATCTTTTGTCTTGTGTCAAGAAGGTAACTCACTGGTTTAGGTCTGAACTGTGTATTAAGGATGATGTGTACAACTTAAGGTATACTGTAAAAGGATTAATTATTCACTGGGTTTTTATTTTTGCTTATTTCACTGATTGGAAAATGCGCTAAATTAAAATCCAATGAATATGCAAAACTGTGCATAGAACGCATTATCTACATGATAAAACTGTGAATTAAAAACCCACTGAATATGCCTGAAATGGTAAATCAGCAAAATTTAAACCCCGTGAAAATTAGACATTTTACAAGTAATCATTCTATCAGTTGCCTTCTATAAACAAAAAACTTCCTTGGGATTCACAACAAATCACGGCAAAATAAATGTAGTTGGAGGTCGGGAATGTATTTATCTACCTGTTTCACGTGCTGTGCAGTGGTATAATATACTTCTATTTTATTTTTAGTGAGATCTTGTAATTGGGACAAACATTATTAAGAGATCATGCATAAAAAGTACTCACTAGAGTGGAAAAACAATCAATCTTGATACGAAAAAGATAATGGCAAATATAATAAATAACACATCACAGATTCGTTGATACTTGGCATAATTGGTCATCTTTGCAGCCTGTGAAAAAAGATGACATAATAGGTGATTTCCAGTTTCACTACGAGATCTCGCATGAAAATTCGCTGATTTAACATTAGCAGCAAAAATGAAATGATTTGTATTTTGAACTGTTTTTTTCATAGTTCATTATCGAAATGCAGAGCTTTCAGACAGGAATATGAGATACACTTACTTCAGCAAAATTGACAATCATCAAATAGATAAAGCAGTGTGGAAATACCCGCTTTTGATGAATCCCACTCAAAGATTTGACGTCACTACAATGAAGTTTGATTTCACGCATAACAAGATCCCAGTGAACAAAAGATGTATATTGCGCTGAAGGATAACAGCTGATTTTCTAGACTGGCAAAGTCGGGACGAAGTCAACAGTGGAGCTAAAAAGTTGACATGGACAGCGACAGACAAGCACTCATAGGATAAGCTCTCCTCAACAAAGTCAACAGCAGAGCTAAAAAAAGAAGTCCCGACTTTGCCAGTCTACTGATTTTCCTCAACTGCTTTATACATAAACTATAACATCAATCTGATTACCAATTCTTTCAACAAAAAACAAGAAACATGCCAGCTATATACATATCTAAACAAACTAAAATAAGGTTCAGTAAAAATAAGCCCAAATTACAGTAAATATTGGGAGATTACTGCATCCAACCAATAGTAATTTGGAATAGAGGCGAATCTCTGTTAATATGTGCGTGTTAGCTCAAATGATATTTGAAGACACAATAAAACAGAAAGCTGAAAATCCTAGCCATTATTATAACATGTCGAAAACATTAAAAATTGAGCTTTTATTCCTTATATTGTGCAAATTCAGACCATAAAAATTTGATGCGATGAAAAATATTAATTACCGGTACATGTTAATGATTATTATTTGCAACACATTAAAATTTAAATAAGCAATTAAATTTCTCTATTTAAATGATAATACTTTGCAGTATCCAAAGTGCTAAGGTCAGGGAGAGAAACGTGCGCCTGTGACATTTTTTTTAGGTAAATTTCAAGTGTTCATGTGTGGGGGTCAAGTTAATAAAAATGTTAGTGTCCAATGATACAAGAAACAGAATTTTTTTTCTTGCCTAAAAGTATAAAAGCAGGACAGGCTGGAAAAAGTGAATAAAAACCACTTTGTGTCCTGAAGGGCAGACATGTTTATTATCATTATAATGAGGACATCTGTCATGATTTGGGCATGTCATTCTGTATTTAGAAAAAAACATGATATAATTTGAAATGATATATCAGGAAGCAGGTATCTCATCAATACCACTTACTTTTGGCATGTTGACAATTAGTGGAGATACACTGAATCCACGTCTTAGGAATGATTTGCATACATGGCAAGTCTCAAAATTAAATTCCTCATAGATGACAACATGAAAACATGTGCCCCAATTGGTCAAGAACCCCCCCCCCCCCCAAGTTTTATTTTTAAAAACAAATAGTAAACACAAACAATAGTTAACTGTAATCCAAAAATGAAAACAATTGAACTCCACTCGTTCTGGTCCAATATTAGAAAAGACAACCCAATTATTTACACTAAAGACGTTAGAGTCCACTATTTCAAAACTGGTTGATTTTCGCTTCATTTCACTATCAAATCTAGGCTTGATTATTGAAAACCATTCAATTTTCACTGCTAGAAATGTACATGATTTAAAGATTTTATGGCATTAGCAAACAAATTTTGCTGGTCAGTGGTACTTCACTTCATAGGATAGCAGCAAAATTTTTACCAAAATTTCACGATCTTCACTGATTCACAAAATGTGTCTCTCCCAAAATAAAAAGCAGATTACAATATATAGGTATCACAACCAATAAAAAACAAATAACGTCATTCAGCAGAATTTTTTTTTTTTTCAAAATAAATTATATTTCCCGCATCCTGATACAAATTATAATTTTAGTGTGAAACCAGAATGTGATGAGATTTCAGATTAGAAATTTCTTACCTCTAAAAAGATATCAGACACATCATGGGTTAATATAATTAAAGCACCGACACGAATCATGTTGACCACCCAAGAAAAACCAATTAACATTACAGTCGCTATGTGATGAATGAACATCTGTACGAAGTCCTACAAGAAAAGAATATTACAAGTTATTTATATACTGTAAAACATGTCTTTTTCGCAAGCATGTCTTTTTAGCGAATTTAGCGAGAGAACTGATTTGCTAATTCAAGATGTCGCTAATGACTTTATTATAAATTCAAAATGGTCACCAAACAACGTCTTTTTTCTCCACACACATTTTGTAAACAACATAAAGAAAACGTACCGACATGATAGATACACTTTATTGAAAAGTAAATTAACACAAAAAAATATACGTATTCATTGTGCTCATTAATTCAATGAAAACGAATAAATAACATTGATACAGTGATACTGATATAAAGTTTTTCTTCGTTTTTATGGAGGTGATAACTGCGTATTTGTTTTGGCGCGCAACAGACAAGTATTGTGAAAACAGGAAAACAACAATGAGAAAAGAGATTCGCTAAATCAACATTCTGCTATTACGTCATTATACCACAATTCGTTAAAATTGCATGTCGCTTTTTCAACATGTTTTACAGTAAGTCATGTGAAAGGTGAATAAGTTTTTAAAAACATTCTACAAGTTTAATATTTTGTCTAGGATCAAAGTTTGATAACAGATCACAAGACACAAATGCTGACACTTGTAGTTGTCAGGTCAGCTTAGTCTCATTAGTAACGGCAATCACATGAAAACATTAATCGATGATTTATGATGAGTTTGCAGTAGATTTTGTTTTACAAAATAAATCAATTGTTATGTAATGGTATTTAAATCATTAATGTATAATATTTTTTTAAACCTAAAAAAGGAGTATTGGGTATGGGTATTGGGTATTGGGTATGGGATGGGGTGGGGTGGGGTGGGGTGGGGTGGGGTGGGGTGGGGTTCATAGCATCTGACCCCTGAAGGGGGTTGTACTTTTTATTGCGGGATTTTATCAGCAACCGAACCGAACAAACTGATTTTTAGCGTTTAAGAGAGAAGCATAGACATTTTAGATAGACCACACATGCATGTGATGAATCAGAAAGGAACAGACAATAAAAATTACCTTTCTCTTGACATCTAAAAACTGTGAGAACAATAAAGAGCAGTAAAAAGAAAGCTCTAATAGATAGTACTTCTCCAGTTGATCCGTCAAACTCTGTGAAATTATAATATTGAGATTTGTCATATGATAATGATATGATAATGATATGATAATGATAACATGAACACAATCCAGTATCTCCTCTAACAAGAATGAGTTTGTAAAGATTTTAAGTCAAAATTAAAATCTCCCAAAAAGAACTTGTGAAATTGTGTCAGCTAACTGATTATAGGGAGGAGCTGACAACATTGGTGCAACAAGTTTAGAGTGTATGCAGGGATGGAGACTTCCAGAAGAACAAAATTAAACCATTTGGGCCCTAGTTTTTCCTCTATTTTACCACGGTAAAATAAATCAATCGGTTTTTGTTTTGTTTTAATATGAATACCATAAATGAATTGAATAATTTATCACTTGATCATTGATGATATAGGATATTTTTTTCAGGGTCACCAGGAAAGCACTTTCAGATAACATAGATGCAGACGTCAAATGAGTTTCTGGTTTCCTCGTTGCTAAGCTAAAATGGGAAATTATCGACAAGTATAGGATTTAGAAATTAAAATAAAATTCTATTTTTGACAGCTACCCAAATCAAAGAAGCCTGTGTGCCAAGGGTATTTGAGTACAAATACGCAATATTTCAAATTAATTATAGACTTAATATTTGCTGCTCAAATCAGATGTCTGTCAGCTAATATAGCTCTATCCTTGAGATGTACTATATTAGCCTTTTCACCTCCAGACTCGCCGAAATTTTCTGCACTTTTTTTCTTGTATTCTTCAATATTTCAGGAAATGAAACCTAATTTTGGTCAATTTTCATTTTTTTTCTCAAAAAATTTGGTTATTTCTGTCCCAATCTTTTTAACAAAAGTGCAAACTATAAACAAGACTATTTTGTGAATTTCTGATGAAAAAGTTAAAGCTTGCAGTATTTGGTACCTACATGTATGTTTAAATTAAATCGTGCAATTGAGAAATAAGAAAATGGTAAATTTCATGCATGGATTTCATGTAATCAGAACTTATTGTAACAAGTTTTATTCAAATTTGATGAGTGATACTGGAGATATCTTTGGAACACTTATAAATTTGATAATTTATGCAAATATTTCAACCCAAATCCAATCAGGTCTGGGCGTTGTATACAAGCATATCATATATATTACAAATATTATTGAAATGTGACAATTAGATTTTGAAAAACCTGAAAACTGGCTAACTATTATGCAAATTATGTAATTAATATGCACATTGTTAAGACTAATCAGGTCTGTGCAATGTCTCTGGCATCTATGTACTACGGTAAGTTTCACTGAAATCAGATAAAAAGTGGTTTTTGAGATATCAGTTGAACAGACATACATACACACAGATAGATAGGTTAATCCAAAAGACTCAAGAGTCAATTAAAGCAATACCTAATACATTCAATATTTAACAAACTCAACTGTATATACTTAATTATTTACTAAAGTTGAAACCACTCATATTTTTTTTTTACTTTTTACTACTAGGGATAACTGTAAATATAAATGAGGAATCACAATTCCCATTCAAAATATGTTTATATCCCTGTAATTACAAAACTGATATCTACATATGCAAATTTTCATAATTTAGTGACCTTGAATATCCCCGAAAGGTTCAAGATTGTACTTTTAAATGACTAATTCAGTAATTGAAAAACTAAGACATCATGATCTTAACTGCGTAGGAAGGCTTTCAGTTGCGACACTATTCAGACGAAAGCTTTAAGAAATTTACACAATTGCTCTTGGCAAAGACGAAGCATGTAAAAGTATAAAAACCTTTGAAACTAAAGTCACCTAGAGCTACCATACACAATTTTACAAGATTATCCTACCATGGCACCATTTAAACCAAAGTCATACAACCCAGGGCTATAAGATACACAATTTTACAAGGACACCCTACCATGGCAACTTTTAAACCGAAGTTGTACAACTTAGGGCTACCATACGTAATTTTACCTTACCATGGCAACACAGCGACAACAATAATTTATGTTGAAGTAAAATTCAAGAAAATATACTTGATAGTCGAAATATACAATATGTCCTCGTCCATTTCATTTCAAGAATTGATGTAAAGAAAAACTACATATACAATGTAGCAAACTTCTGATTTTGCTTGGGGAAAACAGAAATCAGAGGCATGTGTTATGTTTGTATGTTACCGCATTTGATGCCGAGTCGCCTGTGCAAACAGGCCTCACAAGACAAATGGACTCAGTTTTTCAATGTGGTATTAAGCCAATAAGGTCACATTTTTTTTTTTTAATTGATAGAAAACAAATAACACAACTAGGAAAATGCAAAGGCTCATGGGTAAACGCTTGTTTGTAAACAATGACATGCTATGGCCACCTGACGCATGCACAGGTGACGACTCCCTCGCTTCAAGTTTTCGTACAGTCGGTAACTCTTAGTATTTTAGTCATTGGATTGATTGTAGTTGTGTTCAGCAGTGACAATAAAAATTGACAACACATCTACGATTGTTCCATATTTAGAAATAAATGCAAGTGAAAAAGTTTTTTGTATGAGAGTTTTTGAAAGTTGATTGTTGATTTCTGAGAAGCCGCCAAAATTTAGCTACATTGTACAAATAATTATATAACGTTGGTTATAAAAAAAAAGTGATTAGAACATGAAAGACTGTATACTATACCTGATAAGGGTAATCAATCCAACAGTACTTTGTATCCCAGAACCATTTCAGTTCTTTCATATGCTGGAATCCATAAATAAATGCAGCTGTATAAAATGTAAATCGCCAACTGAAATAAACAACTTTAATTAGTAATTCAATCACACTAAATTTAAAGCTACGACTGTGGAATACTTTATTTTCGCTGGATTTAATTTTTCGCTGAAAAGGTCTTTTGGGCCTTTTGTATGGAATTTATTTTCTCTGATTTTTGATGAGTTTAATGTGAAATATAGGGAAAAAAAGTATATTCGCTGAATTTTATTTTCACGGAATCATCCCTTCAGCGAAAATAGCGAAAATAAATTCCAAGCGAAAATAAATTATTCTACAGTATATTTGCTACTATTCTAAGTTTTTTTGTTTCATTTTAATTTGGAACACATTTGCTTATCTATTTGCAGATACTCAGAAACAAACAATAAATTAACTTTTGAAGTAACATATATTTGGTGTTAGATTGGAAGCAGGTGTTTTTCCAGGAAAAAATGCAATTTAGCGGTGCCACCAAGTGGGGGGTTCTCCCTACCAGGGTGTGGAGTTTTTGTTAATTCTAAGTTAAAATGGAGCATTCTATGGCTTCCTTGGGGCCAAAATTACTATCAGACAGGTCACTGTGGCCACATGTGATCCCCGGTAAATCAGGATTTTATGGTTGCCAGAGGATCTGCTTCCCAGGGTAAGGGGGCGCATTGCCATGGCATGAGGGTGTTGCGCCCCTGTTCCCTTGTTTAAAAAAATCCAAGGGAAGTAAATTTTTTTAAATCAAACATGGGCCAAAACATTTTTCTAATTGAAGTCACAAATTTGTTTTCTGTTAACAACAAAACCCAAGATAAACAAATATAATACAAATCCAGCCAAGGCACAACACATTAGTTAACAGAAAGAGTGAAAAAGGTCCATTTTTTAATGTGTTTTTTTTTAACTTATTTACATAAGATAGATGGATAAATTTTTCAATTTCAACATAAATTCAAAGAAAGGTACACACCAAAAAAAAAAAAAAGTCAAAAGATTAAAGCTGTTTTTTTGAGAGGATGTTGTTCACAGACAGACAACAGATGATTCCAATAGCTCATAGCCAGGTAAGCTAAATATGGATACGAAAATAGCTTTTTTCAATTCAGAAATTGTGCACAGGAACAAATGTCGAATGAATGAATTAATAAAAAAAAAATACCTGCTTTCACAGAATTTTGTCAACAATGTTGGTCTTTCCTGATTACGCCGATGTCTAAACCATCTCTCCACCTGTCGAGTAGACCAGTCCAACTGTTTAGCCAATCCCTGGACATGTTTTTTCGATGGATACTGTGTAACAGTCTTAAATACTTTCTCCAGAATAGTATTTGACTCTGCTTTATTGACTCTGCCAGCCTTGACACCAATACATAGAGCAACTGGAGTTGCTACAAATCTAGAAATTAATAATAAGAACATTGTTCATATTTTAAACCACATGAAAATATACATTCACATATTCATTTAAGATTTCATGTACTGAAACATTCCACTTTTCGGGAATAAAATGACAGGATTATTTTTTGTGATCTTCACTGGAAAAATCTGAAATTTATTATAATTTATTTATTCATCCTTAAACTGATTTTGTGGTTAATTTATATTGGTAATCAATAATTGACTAATGATTTAATTGCTGGGAATGGCCAGGCAATGTTTTTTACACATGTTACATCAGTCACTATTAGACCCATATCTAATATACTGCAGCGCCACAACCATCAACTTTTAATAAATTTATTGTTTTCTTTATTATTATTCACTTATTTTCTGTATTATCATTTCTGGGGGAATAACATTTCAAAATGCAGATACTTAACAAAATCGTTAAGCGTATATATGGTATGATTTCTAAATACTGTGGAATACTTTATTTTCGCTGGAATTAATTTTCGCTGAAAAGGCTTTTTGGGCGTTTTGCTTGGAATTTATTTTCACTGATTTTTCATGAGTTTAATGTGAAATATAGGAAAAAAAGTATATTCGCTGGATTTTATTTTCACGGAATCATCCCTTCAGCGAAAATAGCGAAAATTAATTCCAAGCGAAAATAAAGTATTCTACAGTATCAAATATCTACATTGCTGTCTATTGAGAACGTCTTGGTGAAGTTTTATTCCTTGTATTGTATTTCTATATATGCTATGACAATTTTAGCATATTTGGCCTTGAAAAAATGTACTCTCTCAACTCTGAAGCCCTAATATTAGAACTCAAGTTATTCAACTCAACACACCAACAGATTCTAGAATACAAAACAAAAGTGAGTACAAGTTTCCTGATGTTTAACATAGTTAAATCATCTAGGCCTTGTCCTCATCCACAACAATACCACTAACGTAGTTTGGGTAAACAAAGGCCATTCATGAAGTTCACTCATTAGATAACGTGTAGATATAAGACAGGATAACTCATTCATCTTTTGCTCAAACATGAAACAATAACTCGTTACATTAACACAATTCAACATTCTTAGATTAAACCAGTTTTATTTTTAGAAAATTAATGAACTACTCGGCTGCAATAACTCGCCGGGCAACGCTCGTTACCGACTATTATAGTGGCAAAATTGTTTCTAGTGTCCATAAATGCATGTTCCTTTAAAATAGCCCCAAAATGTGCCCCCCAAAACACCTCTTGTCCTACCAAGCCCAGGGTAATGTTTACTGACTTGTGGAAATGCATGGTTTGCAAAATACAAGGTTAGTTATATCATCAACATCTGGGGATGGAAGTGAACAATAAAATACTTGAAAAGTCATTTACGCTTTCAGAGTATATGCATGGATATTTAAACAATATTGAATTTTGTTTGGCAAGTAGGTAACACAAGCGACCTACATCAATCAATACACTACAGCTGTGATATATTCACAAAGACATCATAATTGAACAGTTTAAAATAAACATTATTATTATACATCTGTCACAGTAACGCCATAAGTAACAGTGTGCCATAATTTTGCAGTATTGCACTGGGTATTCGCATCCTACCATATTAGGAAATTTGAATTTCAAATATGGAACAATTACGTGTGTGTAAGCGTCCTGTAATAAAAACAAACAAACATGGCAGTCTCCAGGGTTTGACCGGATCCTACATAAAGAAGGTCACTAAATCTATTCTAACTGTTGGAATTTTGGCATTCCCATGATGTATTCTTAGGAGGAAAAGATGTATAATAATACACAGACAGTACGCAGTTGCATCGCCTCCCCTGCGCATCAGTTAATACTCCCACTGTACTGTCTTTATGCATACTTTACGGTATTCTCGTGATAACCTCATATTATTACCAGAAAAACAGTAATTACATTCATCCAAAATAGATTGCAGGAGATCATCATCTGACAGGTACAGGTACCGGTACATGAATTCTCTCTTTATATATAAATATACTGTAATGCAATTAATTTTTAATTAGACAAATAAGACAAATTTTCATGAATTTCCCAGAGTCAGTGAAGATTACAAAATACATGTATTTTAGCAGAGAAAATAGGATGATCACAAAATATTGCCCTCACTGACACCATAAATAATCAAATATCAACAAATTTCTAGCAGAGTAATGTAAATAGTATATGCATAAAGTAATTCCTATAGTTGATGGCAAACCTTGGCCTGATGATGACCATGAATCACATCAACAAGTGTGTTTTAACATTTTTTTAATGCATCAATGATATTCACAACATTCTCTAGTGCATTAATATTCACACAATTTTGCAGGTAATTAATGCAAGCAATGACTACCGTATTTGCTCTATTAGAAGCACATCTTCAATAAAAGTACATGTGAAAATTAATATTATTGGATTTATTGTATACTAAATCATTCAAATTTTTGGTTTTCTTGAAATCAAACATTGCCAATACTGTATGTTAGTTCATTGAAACATGTTATTAATATGTTCATTGAACCATCGCTTCTTTTATTTACATATTTAAGCACAAGCGCTATTTAATAGAGCAAATATGGTATATATTTAATCGTTAAAGTGAAGACTGTTGTACATACATGTACAAAAATAATTAACTATGTCATGAAGTTAAAATCATTGGAAACTCCAACAATTTTAAAACTTAGAAGACTCAACATTTTTGTTCCAGGTCTCTGGCGACAAAGTAAAAAAATGTTGGCGGTACTAATAAAAGCAAATTTATTGTTTCTCCTGCATTTTCGCAAGTTCTGATAGCAAAACACAGTGTATTCTGTATTGCTTGACATTAAATATGTCAATCAATTCAAACAAAGGCATATTTGAGGGAATGAGACTTGGTAGCCAGCTGGCCACTCTTGAATGTTAATAGCTATGCCAACCAAAACAGTGGCAACTTCTTAGAGGCCCGAGAACATGGATGTATTATACAATGAAAATGTTTTATATAAATATATTCACATGGTTTATGACTGTCTGGTATCTTTCTCAAGGTTAGGCTGAAATATTCTGCAATGAGTAACCAGAAAGCTATAAATCAGTAGACTTAATGTTTTTATGAATACCCTGCGCCTTACAGAGATACTTTATGAGTTAAGCTCTGCAAATCCCATTATGCTTTCAACAAGTTAGTTTTATTTGTCCCTATGTTTGAATACCTGTGTTATTTTTTTTAGATGGGGGGGGGGGGGGGGTAGTGTCTTTAGATGGCACTGTCGTCGAAATATATTTCGGATATATCAGTAAGTAAAATTATTTTTATTGTTTGCTTTTGTGCATAGCAGGACATTTTACTTCAATAAGCATGATGGTGATACGGTAGATACAACAGTACATGGATGCCTCAAAACATAGGTTTGAATAGAGAAGTCGTTGCCATGGAATACAGCAATACAATGGAAATTAGTTAGATATCAACAAACGGGTTCAAACTTGTACTTCCTTTGGACGGCAGCCAGCAATAGAACACACAATATTGTATCCATAAATACAAACTTTATTTGTTCTGTTGGAGCGAATAATATTTCAATTTGTTTTGTTAACTGTCTAGAAATGCTCGTTTTAATTTTTCCACATGATTAATCGAATTTTTTGTTAGGAGTACCCCCCGGTACATTGCGTTTGTATAGTTGTTACAATATTAAATAATGACTTGTTTGACCATAATAAGTGCTTTCACTATATACGGCTCATAACCCAACGTCAATTCTTGCTTCTGATAAATACACAATCTGCTACGCTTCAAAATACTCTGATATCCAGGAGTAAATGCCATGAAAGATATTAACTTATCAGTGCTTGTTCATAAAGGATGGTCTGCTACTACAAGTTGACTGATTGGTTGGATCTCAGTAAAAGAAGCATGCTGATTGGTTGATCTCATTAAAAGAAGCATGCTGATTGGTGCATTTGCAAGCTACTGAATGAGACCAAATAGGCATATAATTACAATGGCTTGTGGTAACATTTATATGCGGCAAGCAGGTCAAGGTATCATGACAAGCTTACGTAAATGACAGATGTGCGTCTATGGTCATAATAAGTCATGTTATGATGATCCCACATAAAACAAATACAAATTTAGGTTTATGTGTGCTTCTTTTAGAGATGCGCTTTTAAATACAGCAATTACAGTTTCAATTCAATGCCTGAATCAACATATCCCTAAAAGTCAAACATCCTTTTTTCCCAGAACTTTGATGACAACCGGTTGATTTTTATAAGGAAAATAATTGAAAAAATTTGTACCCTTAGAAGGTACAGAAATGTGTGACACTTTGGGGGTTAAATTCAGCAAGAGATCATTGCATGGGGCATATCAGCATTTTGATTTGATTTGATTTAATTGATTTAACCATAGACCTTCTAAGGTCTATGATTTAACATTCTTATTTTAAGAATGCAATTGTTGCTGAATCTTGAATTATTGGTAGTAAAAGTATAAATTAAATAGTCTAAAATAACATGCTAGCTATGTTTTACTATTTTGGACAAAAAAAAATTGAGAAAAAGCTGGTAGGAGTCAAATTAAAATGAAATAAAGAATACTGCTTTACATTTGCAAGTTTTATTATGAACTGATCTTTTGAATACATGGGATTCAACACATGTAGGTTGTTATTGTCCAACTATTTCCAAGATGGTGGCAGTATTTAGGGATTTGTTTCAAACAGATGATCCATAACTTGAACCTAAACAGTAAACTTGTTTTAATATTTACTATATTGTAGCTACTAGTCATTAAAGTTATTAGACAAACTGAAAAAATACTTGGAAATATATAGCTATACATAGAGTATACATGTATCTAATCATGTTTAAACACAGAAAATTACATAGTTTCCCCTTGGCTTTATGTTTGTTTCATACTTGCAGTATATAATTCATTACAAATAAGGCAAATATTTAGAGAAATTTCCAAAATACCAGCAGATTTTATTAATTTCTATTGTCACAATGGAGTAACTAGCACAAATATACATTACTTTATTTGCTGGATTAGTAGGACATACTCTAGCAATTTTTATTTCTCTACCATTTACACGGTATTTTATAATCCAGCTATACAGTAAATGTGATTTTGGGTTTATTTGTGATTCCATTGGATGATGCACTTCTAGTAGAGCAAGTATGTATTTGTAACTTATCAGGGAAACATTCTGTGTTTGAATGATGCCTGCAATAATTTTAATTTGTTTGGTTTCCACAACTCAAATTTGTTTATCAAGATAAAGCCTCATGTGAGGCAAAGCCAGCAGCAGAATAATTCATTGGCAATTTTGTCTAATTTTGTAAACTTTTGTGGATGAAATCTACACATATTCGCAATAATAATAATTGTGACATAAGTCACTGCTGTAATATTCATAGTCACATATATTTAACTAAGCCAATGAAAAATGATTTGACAGGAACTTCATAAGGGCTGTTTATAACAGTTAAACTTGCTAAGAAAATGATCGTCAATGTTTAGAGTTCATTGCACACCCTAATTTGAATGAAGATTCATATAACTTTGAAGAAAGATAAAAACAACAGTATTGTAGAAAACATGAATTAGTTTTATTGCTAGCATTTATTTTAAATAATTCTAACTAACTTATATTAACAGATCATTTGCTGACACCTGTTATTTTAATTTAATTTCAGCTATCTATGGAGACTTTCATCAGGCCATGTGTTAAAACTGTTTTTCAATTTGTAATGAATTTTGCATTCAGAAATGAAAATAATTTGGGGTCAGATTTCAAATTGAAGCACAGTAATGTTCCTGATACACAAAAACTTGACATCAAAGAACATCCCGCATAATATGCTAAAATCCGGATAAAATCTGTTGAACATCTTCCCAACATGGGAATCAGTCTGCTCAGTTGAAAGTTTGAACTTAATACCTATTTGTAGGCTAGACCTACAGGTACATTCCTAGTATATAGACAACAACTTGAGAAATAAACCAAGGCACTACTTGTTGGTACTTAACTTCATACGTAATAGAGGACACGTTCGTCATGTTGCCATAGAAATAGTATAATCAGCCATTTTGAAGAATAAGTTCTAATGCCTCTATTGTTAATAAGGATTGGCAACACAGACACAATTCTCAATGCTTGTTTTCAGTGAGGTCACACCCTCTTTAATCTCCAAGCTACACATTTTTAACAATAGGTACATTTCATTACCTTTAATATAGATAATATTTGGCAATGTGTGCTCAGTAGTGTAATGATATTACTGTTAACAGTTAAGAATTTTCATGATTTTATGAATTTGTAACATTTATAAAAACAAAATTTTGCAAAAGTCACTGACATTCTGAGTCAAGGGATCCCAGAGAAATGTTCACTGCTATAAAACCTTTTCCAATGATGAGTAATAAAAGCAGTTTCTTCATATCGTTTATTTGTTCCCTGTTCCTTTGATCAACAGTCCCTTGTTTTATGCGCCTTGAAGTTTACGCTCATTAGGGTTGAGATAAGTGTGAAACTATTCTAAAATCTCCCCACTGCTATAAAATATGATTTTCAGTGACTCACGAAAATTCGTCTCTCGCAAAATTAATTATACTTGCCAGTTTATAATATATCAACAAAATTTATTACATTATAATAATATGAGGTTATTACGAAGATACCTCAAAGTATACACAAAGACAGTACAGCGCAAGTATCAGCCAATGCGCAGCGGAGGTCGATGCAACGTCGTACTATCTGAGTGCATACTTTTAGGTATCTTCGTAATAACCTTATATCTTTTCCTTTCAAGAATACGTCATGGGACTGCCAAAATCCAGCAAACTTTTTTGTGTGGAGTCCGATCACCCTGGTGGCAGCCATGTTTGATTTTATTTCCTAAAATGGTAGTATGAAAATATCTTGTAAAATACCGCAAAATTAAGGCACGCTGTAACTTATGGCATTACAGTGACAGATGTATAATAACAGTATGTATTTCTCCAGCCTATATTAATTATCCTGGACTGGTGATCCAAAAAATTTACATATGCTACGTGCACTTGATTTTGTACAATGATACAGTGATATGCGATGAAGATTTCAGGATCTTGCAAGTAAAAAACAAAACAAAGTTGAAGATGAAAAAATGAATTGCCCAGCATACAGGGCACATAGACTGCATGTATTTAACAAAGCAGAAATTCATATTAATAATTTTGGAACCAGTAGTGCAAGTGATTAATTTATTTCCATTATGAGCAACAATCATATGTCACTTCCCATAGCTCAGTTCATTAAGACCAGTCTTAATACCAGACAGTGACTGTGTTTTGAATGAGTTTGGAGCTTTGCATTTTTGTTGTTGTTTTTTTTTCTTGACTTGTTTTATTATGTATGACCATTTTTATCTTAACCAAGAGATATTAGGAGCTAATAAATACGATTATCAATCAAGTATATTTTAACCAATGGCATCACAGAACAGTCAAGGCTTACACTAGGAGTAGGATTTCTAGAAATGCACGTTTGACATGCAAATTTGTGATCAACTTGCAATTCATACATACTAGTATACCCATCTTTTATAAAACCTTGGTGATTCACACTGATAAAATCTGTGACTCATTCTACACCTGTGTATCTAATGCATAAGTGAAGTGATTAATTTAAACAATACGAGGCAAAATGCCAAAATATTAAATGAATATTCATGAATGAAATTTGTTGACCAATAAAAAAAAGGTCAAGTACTTTTACCTTGAGTATCGAAGTATGTAATTGCTAGTTTGACAGTAGACAGATTTACGTAAATTTATGATGGGTTGAGAAGATCATAAATTAATCTGCCCAATAAATGATATTACAAAACTCTGCACTTTGTAAAACAATACAAATTTGAATTGTACCATAACAAATATACACGCCATACAACCATCCAGCGCGTACGTCACAATTTTAATAAACAATATTTTATGTATTAAATTGAAACAATCCGACGATCCGAACAAGTGTTGTATATCGAAGATAAAATGCAATATCCACGTGAAGGACATGTTGCTTGAGGTTCATCAGTCACAAGGACACAATAGATTAGAAACGTACGACCATGACAGCAGATAAACCCGGCATGTTTTGTAGAAGGAAAGCGGCACAACACATTGTAAGGAACACTCCGCAGAACACGGCGTGAAAACAGCAACAATGCTGTCTATGAACATAATAATAATCGTGAACTTGTTGATAGCGTTAGAGATTAAAAAGACATGTACTTACCTTTCAAAAACTATTCTGATCAAAAAGATCAAGATAGCGTAAGGGAAGGCTGAGTAAAGATCCTCTGCTTGTGGATATCTGGCTTCATCCGAATTTCTCAAATCCGCCCATGTCACATTGATCGGTAGCCAAAAACGCTCATTCCAAAACCAAGAGTTAGCAACTGGCATGGCAACAGTCAACACTAGATTATTTAGTTTATAGTAATATCGTTTCTAGGCCCCGAATAAGAAAATATTGCACGAAACACACTGCCAAAAATCGAGATTCAAAGCATGGAAAAGGGAAAGTCGGGCGATGTCTTGCCGGATCCGGAAATGAGCAGCCACCCTGAGTAGATTGTACCATTCTGTGAGAGGGAAAGTTTTTTGTATTTTTTTAACGCGAAAGTTGAAGCCCTGCTATACATATTTAACGACAGTGTGTTTATTTTCCGCTAAAAGGTTCGCTTGTCACTTAAAAATAAAATTTTATTATATTATTTGCTTTTCAACATGCCAATTGGGAACACTTTGTAAAACAACAAAGAACGTGTCCCCTGAATAATAGTGTACAGACTCATTTCTCGCGAGATATCAGCGTACTGATTCGTGACTTCCTTCTTTTCAACTGCACGGCCGCCATAGTGTCGAAGGTAATACTGAATGTTGGTAAATGAATCGCCCATCATCGGCCACATTTTCTTCCCAAACAACCCAGAAAGTTACAAAAAACACTTCTTGGTTATCTTATCTAGGTATTCTTGAATTAATCTGTGAACTAAATGGCATTTTAAGCCACATAATCATTCATTTGGTCAGGTCATGATACTCTAGTTGTGTACCAAGTACAGTGTACCAGGTTCGCAGAAATGATTGAATGACATCTTATTTTATTCTGATCAGGTCTGTTGAGCACTGGTGTCAGCCCCAGCTATTTAACTAACCCAAAACTTTTCAAATTTGGGTTTTCTGGACGCGTGATTTAGATTAATAATTATTGGATTATCTCTAGTCTTTAGTCGCTGATTCCATGCCTTCATTGAATAAGTAACCATATTCCGACGCTGTGCTGACCATATCGTGACATTGGTTTGTTATTGGTAAACCAACAAGACAGACTGCGCCAAAAAATCATAGCGTTTTGGGTTAAATACCCTTCTTCAGTGCTAACAAAAATTGAACATTGTATTAGAACAACACAGGAACTCAAAGCACTGAAGTTATTGATCTTATTCCAAATGGTGTCTGCCTTGAATTCTTAACAAACAAGAATATTGGGATTTGCTAGGCCTGTGTGCACATCTATTCCCATATACTACCTGGTTTGCAGGGGGTAGGGTAGCATTTGGAACAACGGACATGTACATAGGGCTATAGGATTTGTTACCTACTATACCTTTAGATTGAATACACCATTAATACTAGGAAGGTTATCATGGGAGAAGTAGATTTTTGCTGTACAATTATGTTGATCCAAGCCCAAACTATCCAGTTCTAGGCTGTATGGAATCTTAATGTCAATACAAAGTTGTGATGGTATAGATACAATAATACCACACACACCTGGGATTGTTGCTTCTGTCTGGATATGTGTGGTCACTGACAGGGCTTGAACTTGTGATTTGGGAACATAAATTTTTAGATCAAAATTTCTGAAAAAGTGTTTGAGAGGCGTATTTGGCTACATTGGTCACCTAGGCCTTTGTGAATTCTTGCGGAGCTTGAACAAATTAGGTGAAAACATGGGTGCATAGATTAACTTGATTTATCTGTGTATTCATGACAATCCAGTCTGATTGATGAAACTGATCTAACACCATCTAAACTGTTTCATCTCTTACAGCAGTACAAATATGGGGAAATTTATGAAACCTGGTAAGGTGGTACTTGTCCTTGGTGGACGATTTGCTGGCCGCAAAGCAGTTATCATAAAGGTAATTTTGTTGTTACACAGTGCAAGTCAACAAGGACCTGCCCAGTATTTTAAAATGCTATTTATTTTAAACTGGATCATTGAATTATGATCATAAACAAACTTGTGTAATATGTAAAAAGCACAATGCTTTTCTGCACACATACGGAGTAGGTTTCATATAATTTTGTGTACTGTATTTACTCTAGTATATTAGAAGCACTTCTGTTACAAGCAGACATCAACAACTGCATATGTTGGATCATTAAATTATGATCATAAACAAACTTGTGTAATATGTAAAAAGCACAATGCTTTTCTGCACACATACAGAGTAGGTTTCATATAATTTTGTGTACTGTATTTACTCTAGTATATTAGAAGCACTTCTCTGTTACAAGCAGACATCAACAACTGCATATGTTGGATCATTAAAATGACCATATGCTCACCTCTGTTATTTACCTATGTGTATGTGCTACTAATAGAGCAAATATGGTACACATTCTTATACTTAGATTTTTAACGTTACTGATGTAGTCGTTGATAACTATTAGGAGGACATTGAGGCTATGCAACTGGTTAAATATGCATCAAAGTCAATTTGAAATAGCTTGAATTGCTCGACAAATCTGGAAATGAGCAGCAATCTTGAGTCTGAGAGGGAGAGTGCTGTGCATTTCAAGAAAGCAATCAAGTCTGAAAGCATTGGTTTAGTGTTTGCCTTGGGTTATTTTTCTAGTGTTGCTGCATAAGCAGATTGTATAGCATGCGTTTTCTTTGGTCCTTCATTAGAGCATTAACTCATTTTGTTTGCTCTTGTTAAAAACACCGCAAGTCCAATTGCTTCGATATTGCATATATAGGTACTACATGTGGACTTCTCTCAGATTTGATCTTTCTGTGATATCTTCAATTCTCTAATTTTTGGTAAAAAGTGATATTTTATACTTCTTGTTGAAAACAGCAAGTCAGATTGCTTTGATACTACACATATAAGTACCTTAGGTAGACCTCTTAGATTTGTTCATTTTCTAATGATATCTTCAGTTCTTTATTTGAAATGTGCATTGCTAACAGCAAAGCTATCTTAGTCGAGAGGCTGCTTGTTACATGTAGGATAACTTTGATGAATCAACAAATGAAATTCATCTTAACCAAAATGACATTATATACAAACACCTAATTATCTGGTTGATCGAGAAAACTTAGCTGGCTATATTTAAAAAAAAAAATCATTTGACATTGGAAAGTGGGTAACCATTTTGATTATAATTTATCGAATGCCCCTCCCCTAATGCACATGCTTTATCTCATGTTTATACAAATAAAATGAAGTGACAAGGTAATTTTGTTTTTATTTATAGAATTATGATGATGGTACATCAGACAAACCATATGGCCATGCTCTCGTAGCTGGTATTGACAGGTATCCACGAAAAGTTACTAGAGATATGGGAAAGAAAAAACTAACACAGCGTTCCAAAATTAAGAGCTTTGTCAGAGTATATAATTACAATCATCTTATGCCTACACGGTAAGTCTCCTCGTGGTCAGTGCCATGTTGCAAATGAATTCAAAAATAATAATCGTTTTTCTCCCTAGAAATTAAAACCACTGTGGCAGTGAAAATTTGCATAACTCCTCGAAACAAATATTGCAATGTTTAACTTACTCAATTACAGTGTACAAAATTATTGACTTACAAAACTGTTATTGCTTCAATTTTAAGTTTTCAGCAACTTGTCAATTTGATTGAAAAAGTCTGCAACAGCACAGTGATTATGGGAGTCATGATGACTGTGACAGTCAGACCAGTGCGTCATTAAAACAAAGTATACCGCCACGCAACTTTTATCCTGATAATGCAAGGCTGAAATGAATACCTAAACCAGATTGGAAAAATCATTTTTTTGAAGTGATTTGCCTGTATTAAACTATCAGCAATAACCTATTCAAATAAAAAAATCATCCCCCAATCTCAAACTCAAAAATGTATGTTTATTCAGAAATTTGACAAAAAAACAGTGCAGAAGGTTTATTGGATCTTGTCCTTTCTTGCTTCATGGCTAAACAGGTTGGTCTTCAGCTAAGGAATACTATGCAGCATCAGCCACCCCTTTAAACCAGCATGGCTGAAAATGTTAATCTTAAACAAAGCCCAGGATGTAATGCACTTTGTAATTTGCATACGTGTACGAGTCTATGTGGTGACACTAGACTGTTGGTGTCAGTGGGAAGATGTCATCTTTATGCCCACAGTAAACTTGCATGTTTCATTACAACTAATGCATTTATGAAGGGATCTAGAAATTTGAATAAAGGTTGTGAATCCAAATTTAAAACAGCTGAAAGTTTAGTTTCAATGCGATTTACATACTTGTGACAGTCGAAGTAAACGTACATCAGCTGACAAAACAGAATAAATATCCTTCAGTTGAAATAATCTGTGCTAAGGAATCACTGTTAATTACTGTTGTCTACAATTGATTTGTAATGGAGGTTTCTCGAAGAAAGCACCGATTGTCTGGTTTTATTAAAAGCTATTCTGTTAAGTGGTATGACGGATACAATTATTTTTCTTCTTTCTCTCTAGTTATTCAGTTGATGTCAATATTGATAAATCTGTTGTAAACAAAGATTGCTTCAGAGATCCATCAAGGAAGAGGAGAGCAAGGAGGGAGGCAAAAGCAAAATTTGAAGAAAGGTAACTCTACTTCCTTCAAACTTTTATTTGTCTCTGTGAAAAGATGAAAGTTTGATTTAAGGCTTTTTATATATAGTTGTTGAAGGGTGATAGGGGGGGGGGAGTCTCAGGAAAACAATTTCGCTAAAAACTGTTGACTATGTTAACATTGCCAGGGTTGAATTTGACTTAATTCCCTTTCAACATTACAATGTCTGCGACTTGAATACAATCATTTCGAATAAGTGGTGGCAGATATCATAGAATGCAACATTCTATGAAATTACCAAGTGTGCACCTAATATTTCCATTTTACCAACATGTGTTGTAAAGGAGAATCCAACAGTAGCTGTTGAATATTTTAAGACATTATTCTGAGATGTTATTGAAAAATTCCAATGCCATTCCGCCAAACCAGAGTTTGACCATTGAAATGAATAGTCACCATGTTTCTGATGCAGGTTGAAAAACTTGAAATATCTGCAATTGAAATATTACAATGCTGCAAGGAAAACTCTTAGGGAGATCCAAAATTGAGCACAACAAAAAACTGTTAATACCAAATACGAAATAGAAGTTGCAATAACTGTTCATTCAAAATAGGGTATGCAGTATTTTGATCTCAGAAATGGAAATGTACAATTTTCTTTTTTTTATATTTCAGATACAAGACTGGTAAAAATAAGTGGTTTTTCCAGAAACTTCGCTTCTAAATATGTATATGTAAGATGATTTGTTTTATGTACCAACGATAAGAAAATAAAGTAACTTTTTGTTGGATTGCGTGTTCATTACTTTTTTTGACTCCCGTGTGCGAAGCACAAAAAGGGAGTCTTT